TGCTTCTGCTTGTAGAAAGTTCTGCTCAAGTCTTGGCTATTGAACAGCGAAAATCGCAGATCTCTATCTCATTCCTATCAAAAGTTATTCAAAAAGTGGCTGACTGTCTTGTATTTTGGAACGCATAGTAGGCGTTTGTATTTTCATAATATTTTCCAAACGAAAGATCGTATCGACTGCAGATACATTTCAAAATCTTTATTATAATTGCGGAAGTGGTGGACGAGTGTCGTGTAGTTATCTCAATGAAGTTTAATCAAGAAATTTTAATGTCATTTCGTGTATTTTGTACGCTAATAAAATTCTCAATTATTTCCTAAACTTTCGTGTCGATTCCCTAACAATTGTCATTAATGTAGTAAAACTTACTTAGCGATCATATAATTAGTACGAGGAAAAGGTACTAATGCTCTGGCTATTTATCAAATCGCATGATTCTATAAATACCCAACGAGATATGAAAAAGTACAGCGAGAAATTTTCGAGAAATGTGCGGAATGAATAGAAATGACATTGTCAATATTTAACAGAAAGAATTTTCTTTGAAGTCCGCTCCATTTTTGCCAAGTCTGTTTTCTATGACAATAAGAATGAGACAAGAGGGTGAAAGTATCAATAAAATATAGATCCTGGCATAGCAGAACGTTATCGAGACGGCTGTTCTTCGATCGAAAATCAATATGTGGTGGTGTCATAGAATCAAGGTGATATGAAACGTGAGAAGGATGCGAAAGTGAGTAGAAGAATTACGTTAGGTAGAAACAACAACCGAATAGCAAAATTTTTCACTATCATCAGCACTGAGAGCTAAAGTGATCTAGGAGAGCATTTCAAAATTTATGCCACTCACTAAATCGTTCTGTTGGTCACAGGTCGCTCCACCGCTCGGTCGATCATGCAGTCGCTCTGCTGTTCCATTGTTATTAAATTCTAGTTTATTTTATTTTGTTTAATTTCGGTTCCTTTGATTGTATTGTGGATACATATACACATTGGCATATGTATATATATTACTTTCAACGTATTCGTTCTTTAAAAAATCTGAAAAATCTGAGTTTCTATATTTTAAGTATACTAGTGCGAGTATTCATCTATACTTCTATTCTACAAAAAATATTAATTAATATAAATTCTTTGCAACGTCTCTTAACCTAGTCTGAAAAGACTAAGGTTCTCGTTAACTAAAATATGTTCAGGAGGCATTGAACGAGATTTGATGGCCATAGAAATCTTGATGCATGTACACTAGTGTCGCATTTTGTTTCAAATATGGAAACTAAAGAGCTTTTATCAGAAAAAATTTCTTATTTGAGGTAACAATTGCATGATGATTATATCAAAACTTGGTAACTTTTTTCCTAAAGAGCCAAGTTTCGAGTGTCCTAGAGAATCGAGAAATCAGCATAGTCGATTGTAATGAATCAGCACAAAAATCTCATCTGCATAACAGCTCTTTTTGGATCGGGGTCTTCGTCTTGAGTATGTCACATAGCACTACCAATAAGGACCAAAGATGCCGCTTATTCTCTGATCTCATCAACTTTCCCATACTTTTCTTCACATTTACTTTATATTCTATGAATGGAACATTTTCTTTACTTCAACCATAAGGAAAAGACAAATGATGTCTTCTAACTCATGATTGATAACACTGCTTCCAAAAACACTGTACATTCTGTCAGTTTACCAGGATATATTTGACTTTATTTATCAAATATATTCGACTGACATTATATTAGCAACGGTGGACTGTAATCCACGGAAGAATATAGTTCTAATAGTAAACATCGCCCAATACTAAAGACAACAAAACACCGTTGTTTTTTGCTTTTCAGACTCATCGATTAAAAGGATACTCCATACTTGTATAAAAATTAAAGCTGAGTTCATTTTATGGTTCAAGTGTTATTCTTTCTGTTACATATTAAAAATGTCATTTCTATTCATTCCGCACATTTCTCGAAAATTTCCCGCTGAGTCTATAGAATCCCCGTTTCTGTACCTTCTCCATAATGTATAGATATAGTAGAAAGAAATCAATATAACAACAAAAACAGATTAACCACAGAGAGTGGGAAGATAAAATTTAAAAAGTTACACAAGAAAAACAAAACATCGCTTTTTTGTACGGGTACAGTTCTGAAACAATTTTGCAGAGCTCTATCTTCGAGCCATTTCTGGTCGATTTTAATGGAATAACTAGACGTACAAAACAAATACAGGAAAACATTTTTAATTTATGGACGTATGAGTGAATTTCAAGAGAAAATGGTTTAAGATATAAGTCCAATTTCAAATGGTTCTGTATAATTTGCTTGATAAGCTAAACGGCGATATAAACGTGATGCTACTGGATAATACTCTTCTTTATATAAATCATAATATATCTTATCTAATTCTTCTTCTTCCGTTGCAAATAACAAATCTTCACCTGAACAAATAGGAAATAGATAAATATCAATAATTATGCGAAAAAAAAACTCGATATGCACTTAAACAGAAAGAGTGAGAAGCTTATCAAAACTCGTCGCTTACGTAATGTTTCATTAAATATAGTGAATAATTTTACTAATTCATCATTATTAAACCATAATACTTTATTTTCATTATCACAATAATTCCATAACGCTTTGCAAACTAAACTAGCTAATTGCCAATCTTGATTTACTGAACATTCAAATATGCTTATTAAACTAAAAAACACAAAACATGCGAAGATCAACCTATTGGAATCGTAATAATGGCAAACCTTTGTAATCCATTATTTATCTTTAAACACGAACGTTTATCCTCATCTACTGTAAGATTAATAATAACTCCAATAACAGCGTATAATAATTCGATATTATCCGATTCACAATACTCAATTGCTAGATCATCAGCTAAAATAAAATAATCAAATAATTTGTTCTTTTCATTCTTACTTATGAAATTTTATTAGAATACCTTTGCAATGCATTAATACATTACGAACATTTTTCATCCGAGATAAATTTCCTAATACACGAAATGCTTCTATAATAAAATCTGTTTTATCAGAATGATGAATACAATTTAATAATACTAAAAAATATTTAGAAAGTCTATTATTATATTATAGAATAAAAAAGGGGTTGACGGAAAACGTCGAAAGGAAAAATGTCGATAAAAAAAGAGCAAAACGTCGAAGAGGAAAATGTAGAAGAGCAAAATGCCGAAAAGGCAAACGTCGAAAGCGGATAATGAAAGAAGGAAAATATCGAAAGGAAAACGTCGAAAAGGAGAAGATTTCTTTCTGTTCCTTTGAAAATCACTGATAGAGAGACTTTATTAAACTACATAGAGAAAGAGAGTAAAAGAAAAATGATAGGACCAATAGATCGTGGTCTAACTTTTCGTTGATCCTGATCAAGAACGATAGTCCAGCCAGTAGCTGTTTTCCATTAATTTCTCTATTGAGAAATCATCCATTGAGTGTGTCAAATCGTTGTTGAAAAGCTTTGTATTTTCTGATTGCTTTGAGGCTGATGCCGTTGCATCAAGTTGCACAGTGATGTGTTAAGTGGATAGGATGAGGCTAAGGCGTTCATCGTAGCAGCCAGACTGAACTTCATCATACTTTACTTTTTCGATGAGTTACTACGAGGTTGGGGAAGGCTGAATAGAATCAATAATAGTTCTAATGATAAAAATACGTATATCTCATTCAGTTATTTTCAAAGGAACAGAAAGAAATCTCCTCCTTTTCGACGTTTTCCTTCTTTCATTATCGGCTTTCGACGTTTGCCTTTTCGGCATTTTTCTCCTCTACATTTTCCTCTTCGACGTTTTGCTCTTTTTTTTATCGGCATTTTCCTTTTCGACCTTTTTCCTTTCGATTTTTCCGTCAAGGCCATAAAAAGACAATAATATTTACATTGTGTTAATTTTTCAGCATTTTTTACAATGATACTTTGATTATCATCATAATAAGATAAATTATTTAATGCCATTAATACATGAATAATCAATTCTTCACTATGTTGTTTTGACATATCTATGATCAAGTGATATGATCATGTATGTTCAATCTTCCATTCTTTTTTTTTTTAAATTCATTATATCATACCTAGTAAATTAAATAATGGCATAATGCATTTATCGTTTCGAATAATTTTTAAACCATTTTCTTCGGATATAGCCAAATTACTTAGTACACGTATCACTTTATTAATAACATTTTCTATTGATTTTACAGTATTTTCTTCACCATCATCGATTTCTGTTGTTGTTTCAATTTTAATATTTTCCGATTTTATTATCTAACAACAACAATAACAAAAGAAAAGGAAAGAAATAAAATAGATTTTTAATATATAAGACTAATAATTACCAATGAGTCCATTTCAATATAAAAATATAATAATTTTGTTAATGTTTCTAATGCATATTTTTCTTTCATAAATGTAATACGAGCTTCATCACTTTTTGCTAACATATTACCGAGTATGAAGCAAATACGAATAATAATTGCCTAAACAGAGAAATTTTGTCTATCTTCTTTATATATGTTCAGTTAATGTACACTCTCTTGTTTGGTACTGTACATTTAAAAATATTTTTCTTTCGTATTATTTTTCTTCTACTGATCTAAATAGACACATTGAATAAACGAAAAAAATCTTTAAATTATGTTCTTTATAGAAATTATACAATTTTATCTCTTCTCTATTTAGAATTTCGATTATTTTTCGATAAAGAAAATTCAGTTGACATTCACTAATGATACAAAAAACGAAAATTTTGACTATCAATTTCAAAAGTTTTTTCTGTTTAGAATGAAAATATCATTAGTCTCACTAGGAAAGGTAGTGTACTTCTTTCAAAAATTTTAAAATTAAAATTATTTATTTTATTTTTTCTTAACTTACTTGTTTACTTTCATGTTTAATTAATATTTTCAAAAATGATTTATAACATGATGGACATTGAACTAATTTTAAACAACTATCAGTATGTTGAGTTAATTTACTAGAATAAACAGAATATCCTATAAATGTTCAATTGTTTTCAAAATAGGAGTGAATATATACCTCAATATTCTTGCCACATTTTTCATTAAATCAGCAATACTTGTAAAATATTTTAATACTTGTGCTAAATAATCAATTAGATCATTTTCACCAAATTTAATACAATTATCTGTTTTTTCAGCTAAATTTCTTAATGTAGCTGTTATCTAAAGAAATGAACGAATATTATTGTGTAAATAAATGTATAATAATAATAATTCATATTAACCTGTATTAAACAATGACTAATTTGATTTTTGACATTCTCATGATCTTTATACTAAAAAAAATGTTTAGTATAATAAGTTGAATGATATATGAAATATAAGAAACATACTTGCAATATCATTTTAAAAATATTTTGAAGTAATGTGATTCCATTTTTTTCTGATATAGTTTCTAATAATTGATCAGTGGTAGTTAAATTTTTTAATATACAACAAAAATAGACAATTGTATCAATATTGTTTACAATTTCAATACGTTCAATGGCATCGAATAACAGATCTGAAAAGAGAAAGAAAGAGAAATTATATCATTCATACGTATACAAAAAAAAAATATATATATATATATAATTTGTTTATATACATGCCTAATAGGTTACTAGATAGAAAAAAATGATCGTTATCCGAATTTTCACTTAAATCAAATATTAAACGAACGATAATTTTTAAATTATTTGCAGTACTAACTTGGAACTAGAATGAAAAGAACTATTGAGATTACAGAGAGCGTATGTATGTATTTATATATATATACCGCTAAACTAAGCCGAGATACATTATATTTAATAATAGAATTATCACATTCAATAAAACCAAAAAGTAGTTTTAAAATATCCGATCGTCGTTTACATTTTTTTAAAAATAAATTATTTATATTTAAAGCATGATATAGTTCATCGGCTGTATGATTAAATAAATCAAAATTACATTCTAAAAAATAGCATAAAAATAAAATTTTAGATCATATACATAAGTTCGATAACTTACGTTCATAAGATGTTAATAATGTTTCTAATATCGGAGTTATTTGTGTATTCCATAATATCATTTCTTCCGATGTTTCATCTTTGTAAGAAGATACACTGCCTAAATCGAATAAATATTAAAAAAAGAAATAGACATCAAATACATCATAATGAATCATAGATAGTTTGAATGATTTAATTTAAGAGAAACAAAAGTAGAGTTTTATTCTGAGAGAAATGAACTTCTTGACTCACGATATGGGTACGCATATACCGGATATTTACCGGTTGTAATTCTGTGTTTCTCTCACAGAACGCTTTTATTACCACTGGGTTTTGCATAACAAACATTTCTCGGTGAATGACGTATGATAGCACTTTTCGTCTTGATTTAGTAATTAGGCATGCAACGGTAACCCGGTAAAATAGTAATGGTAAACCGGTAAATTATCGTTACCGTTGCATGTCTATTAATAGTTGGATAAAAAATATTTAATAAGCGTCTCGCGACCGGTACTGATGTCGGTTTATCACCGGTTGTCACTTCGTGACAACCAGTCATACTTGGCAAGTACTCCCTAAATACTTGCATCAAGTATATCCACTAAGGTCATTCAGTAGAAGAATGTTTGGTGTACGCAACTCAGTTGTCAAAACACTTTAATATACTGTACTTTGTAATTAATTTAAAATTGAAAAAAAAGGATCAAACATACTGGTAAATATCGGTACATGCTTAGGTAAGAAAATGTATAAGAAATTAAAGAAATTTGAAGAACCCAAGATCATGAACTTCTTGTATCAAAATCTTAGAAATTGTTGAATCCTCATTTTGTTTTATACTCTTGTTTGTATATAAATGTGAATATTTGACATGCTGTATTAAAATTCAGGTAGATTTTAAATTAGCCTAGGCTAACTTAAAATTTTAGTATAGCCTAGACTATATTAAAATTCAGATGTCTGCATAGTTCGATTTAAGTTCACCTAAGCTAATTTAAAATCTGCCTGAATTTTAATATAGTTTGTAACATCTTTTCACATTCAGAATGGTTTCGAATCTTTGTTCTTTCTTGAACATAGTAGCTTAAGGGTACCCTCTCCCCCTCTTTTTGGACTTACCATAGAAATACTGTGAAATAAAAACTAAAAGTCACTAAGGTTTCATATTTTCAGAAATGATTAGAAACTCAATGAAATACTTTTTCGTTTTTGTTTCTAGTTTTTAACTATTGCCGTTCACCAGAAAGAGTTTACGATTTTAAGTGGACATATATCTGATGACTATGACTGTCATACATCAAAACAAAATGTGAAAAAACATTTTCATTCCAAATCTTGAAACATCATAATTGGATTCACTCAAAATGTTCAAATTTCTATTCATAAGATATTGGTCAAGAGTTTGCATACAAGAAGTTTTAGTAGGGTAAAGAATCGCGGTTTGTACTGAATCATACTTTATTTAAGGAACACATGATATTTATGAGAGAAAAGAAACATGAGAAGGATGTAAACAAAAGTGTATGACGTGTTTATGAAAGAATAAGTTATTGGTCGAAAAAATTAGATGATTTTAAAAATCGAGCTACAGCCTAGTAATTAAAAATTCATCTCAATTTTTGTTTTTACGGTAGTCATTCTAACTAGGAGTGTACAGTACTGTTAGTGTTACCATTAATACAACTATTGTATAGATTCCTATTAACAGTAACAGTAATAGTAAAAAGTAGTCCTGTTACTGATAATAGGAGTATCCATAAAATTATTATTACTTTACTCAAAAGTAATACTAGAAAAAGGTTTTCAAAAGAATATTCAAAAATTTTCGTACTTTTTCTTGAATGAAAAACAAATTTTTTAAGCAGAAGAAAAGTTTTTTCAGCTATTTTTCCTACTTTACTCTTTTGTTTATCCTCACATTTCTTGAATTCACTCATTCTATACAATGTTACGTGACTATTTTCGAAACAGACTTGAAAGGACACATCGCCGAATATTGATATATCTCTGCGATTTGGGTCAAGTGTCGAATATGCGTAGGTATGCACCGGTATCCGTGCACCGATAATACCGACCTTTTTTACCAGGACTTTTTGAGATTTTTTCATTTGAAATGAGATATTTTAGTGTCCTGGGCAGGCAAATCGCATAAAAAAACACTCAACTGTATATTCTGAGCATATGTAGATAGTAGAAAAAGAAAAGTTTTGGCTTTAGAAAACAAACAAAGCTCTTATCCCTGGTTCTTTCTGGGTGTCGAGAACGCGAAAAAAGCTCATTTCAAATGAAAAAAATCTAAAAACGCTCAGGTACAAAAAATGTAGGTATTTTCGGTACTGCTATTTCAGTATGGATACCGATACCGGTGCATACCTAAATATGCTACTCTATGAACTCACACACGAGCGTAGTATTGAGCGGAGAGATGGCTTCTGTATTCAAAAGTGGTTGTTCATCATTCAACAAAATTCAAACACGGTTATGCACATTTTTCGATGAAACAAATTTGCAACATTATTTCATGCAGCATTTTGTACAACATCTGCACAGCTAGTCGTATGCGAAGATATAAAAAAATACTTTTTAGTATTGCTTTCCTTGATAATGCAATACATGAGTAACAGTAATAAGCCATTCCTAAGTCTAACGTGAGAAGGGTCTATCTAATACCAGTAAATAATTGAAGTTGGGTTACAAATAGAGATATCAGCCGACTAATTTATCGGCTAAAACGCAATGGTGTGAAAGTTTGAAATTTTTTTTAGGCGGCGTTAATGGTACGGCTAACATCTCCAGTTAAAACGCAACTAAACAGTTGGAGGAAGAGTTTTTTAGTGACTAGAATGTTGATAAACAAACAATCGAAGCATGTTTTTCCGTTTATTTGTTTATCGTAGTTTTAGCCGCTAAAAAACTCTGTTTCTTGAACTCTTTATAGTAAAAGCCGTTATTCACTCTTAAATTTAAAACTAGATGAAAACTTGCACCTTAGAAGATGATAATGATCATTGAATGAGAAGCAAATTAATATGGCACTAATTATGCTCACCGAAGTTATTTATAAGATAGGTTTTTCTGGAACGACGAGTTTCGAGCGCTTTTGGATGTTTTACAACCATATTCATCTAATTAGTTTAGAATTTCTGGCAATTTCACACTTGACGCAATTTTACAACAATAAAGTATAATGTTTTTGTGTTTTTTCCTATTCATTCATAAAATAAAAGAGCACCAGAGTGCATTGTTTTATTTACATTAGAAATGACAGTAAAAAGGCACTGTCTGTTGATGAACAAAAGAATAGATGCTTATCTACACATGCAGGGGCATATAATCATCGAGGTCCTTTTCTTTCCTTGCATTTCATCAAAATTTCAACAACGTTTTTTATAACAGGGGTTAATCCACGCAGCTCCTATCACGTTTTACAATTCATTCTCAGAATTAATTGAAACCACTCTGGTTTTGTAGAGTACAGCGAGTTATTGAGAATTTCTTCTTAGAACTTTTGAAAAAGGTCCTCGAAACATCACCGGCCAAGGT